GCCTCCTCTTCAGAGAGCTGCTAGAAGGCCTACACGGGGAGCTGTTCTGCTTTGCAGCTCAACGATTGAGCCTTACAGGGCCTCATCAACAAAGGTTTCAGCGTGTGAGACCTTTCACTGATAACTCGCCTCAGGAAGGCTTTACAGGTGAACAAAGAGCTGACAGTACAGCTGCTACTTACCAGGACACAGGTAAAAACAATGGCCAAGCAACAGCTACTAATATCCTGCCTAGAGCCTTAAAGATACCAGGCAGGGCTACAAGGGAGAGAACAGAGGGTTACCGTTCATCCTTCTCCTTCCGAGACATCTTCCTGTTGTCTGCCTCAGACAGCTTGCGAGTCACTTCTTTGGAAACAGCGTCTTCTCTCTTCTGTGCCACTCTGTAAGAAACCATGGAGGTTGGAAAAGCAAAATAAAAAAAAACCCTGGGGCTCTGGGAAGCTGTATTTACAGTGAAGAGTAACACTTCACGGAGACACTGAGCATTTTTGCCAAGCTGAAGGGACAACAAGTAATAATCAAGTTACTGAAGGGATCAGTGAAGTACAGTTTGGGGCAATACCCACCGAGAACGAAGGTACTTTTGCCATTTCATTGTACTCTTGGCTGACAAGGCTAGGCTACGCCATAATTAGAGAGAAATGACAGAAACTAATTAGGAGATACTTCTATGTAAAACAGTTTTTGAAGTAACACTTCAGACGTTCTTATTCACAAAAAAAAAGCGTTGTAAACGTTGGCTTTGTTGAATTATTTAATAATAAATTCTACTTCAAACAGCCACCAAACTTACTTGTGTTTGAGAACAAACTTGACGTTCTTATAGGCAAACGCTACTAGGTAGGTGCTGATGAGGGTCATGACGCTGTACAGGACGGCGGACTGAACGAGATCCATGTGCCATATCCTCCAATAAAGCCCTTACAAGAAAAAAAAAAAAAAAAAGCCATTTTGAGTGTTCTCTCCCTCCGAGGCAAACGCCCCCCGCAGGATTCCCCCGCAGCTCACGAGCTCTGTAATTCAGCACCAGCTCTGCCAGACCAAAGCCATTTTCCTCCAAAAATCACTTGGGGTGATCTTCGAACCGCACTAAAACACACTTCCGAGCAGAGAAACGCGCTTCGCCGGGGGCGGGAAGGGGCCTTGGGAGCCCACGTCACCCTCGGCTCTTGCGGGCCAGCTTCGGGCAGCGCCGTGCTGACACGTCAGGGCTCGACCGGCCGCTCGTCCATCTTTGCAAACCACAGCACAACCACCCCGCCCCCTGTTCCGAGCGGGACCGGCTTCGAAGCTGGCTCTGACACAGCACGGAGACAGATAACCCCACCGGGGGGCGG